GAACTGGGATGGACTGGAATGAATTGGGATGAACTGGGATGGACTGGGAGGAACTGGGATGAACTGGGAGGAACTGGGGTGGACTGGGATGAATTGGGATGGACTGAGAGGAACTGGGATGGACTGGGAGGAACTGGGATGGACTGGGAGGAACTGGGGTGGACTGGGATGAATTGGGATGGACTGAGAGGAACTGGGATGGACTGGAATGAACTGGGAGGAACTGGGATGGACTGGGATGAACTGGGAGGAACTGGGATGAACTGGGATGGATTGGAATGAACTGGGAGGAACTGGGATGGACTGGGATGAACTGGGAGGAACTGGGAGGAACTGGGATGGACTGGGATGAACTGGGAGGAACTGGGATGGACTGGAAGGAACTGGGATGAACTGGGATGAACTGAGAGGAACTGGGAGGGACTGGGAGGAACTGGAATGGACTGGGAGGAACTGGGATGGACTGGGATGAACTGGGAGTCTCCCCAAATCCCCCTTTTTATCCCAAATCCATCCCCAAAATCCGGGAATTCCATCCCCAGAGGAAGAGCTGGGAGGCACTGGGAGGCATTGGCACGAACTGGAACATACTGGGAGGAACTGGGAGGAACTGGGATGAACTGGGATGGACTGGGAGGAACTGGAAGTCCCCTGAAATCCCCTTTTATCCCAAATCCATCCCCAAAATCCGGGAATTCCGTCCCCAGAGGAAGAGCTGGGAGGCACTGGGAGGCATTGGCACGAACTGGAACATACTGGGAGGAACTGGGATGAACTGGGATGAACTGGGATGGACTGGGAGGAACTGGGATGGACTGGGATGGACTGGAATGGACTGGGATGGACTGGGATGAACTGGGATGGACTGGGAGGAACTGGAAGCCCCCTGAAATCCCCTTTTTCTATCCCAAATCCATTCCCAAAATCTGGGAATTCCATCCCTGGAGGAAGAGCTGGGAGGCACTGGAAGGCACTGGCACAAACTGGGATGAACTGGGATGAACTGGGATGAACTGGGAGCACCGGGAGCCCTCCCAAACCCCCTCTTCTATCCCAAAATTCCCGCAGGCCGTCACCAAAATCCGGGAATTCATCCTGCAGAAGATTTACTCCTTCCGCAAACCCATGACCAACTACCAGATCCCACAGAACTCCCTCCTCAAATACAAGTGAGCAATTCCCAGAAAAACTTCCGAGGTGGGAATTTCGGGAGCCTGGATCCCGACGGAGGCGGCAAAAATTCCCGGAATTCCAGGTTTTTCTACCAGTTCCTGCTGGGGAACGAGCGGAACGTGGCGCAGGAGCTGCGGGATCAGTACGTGGAGACCGTCAGCAGGATCTACTTCTCCTACTTCAAATCCTACACTGGGAGGCTCATGAAGATCCAGGTGGGAATTCTCGGGGATTTGGGAATTCCGGAGGGGGTTGGGAGGGGCCTGGGAGCCGTTTTGGGGGGGAATTTTGGGATGGAGCCAAGCGGGATCCCCCGGGAAGATCCACGTTTCACCCTGTTGGGTGAACATCCTGGTGGGAGTTTGGGGGGTTTTAGGGAATTTTGGGATGCTGATCCCAACTTTTGGGATGCTGATCCCAACTTTTGGGGGGTTATCCCGATTTTTGGGGTGCTGAGAGGGTTTTGGAGGGGATTTTGGGGGTTTTTTTGGGATGGATCCCACCTGGAATCCCCCGGGAAGATCCACGTTTCGCCCTGTGGGTGAAGATCTGGGTGGGAATTT